AGGAAGGAAGGAAGGAAGGAAGGAAGGAAGGAAGGAAGGAAGGAAGGAAGGAAGGAAGGAAGGAAGGAAGGAAGTTCTTTGAATGAGTGAGTGAGTGAATGAATTAAATCTTTCATTCATTCAGCCACCCATCTCACAAATGTGACTCTGGGCAACTTACAATAAAATAAAGACAAATAAAATACATACTATAAAATAAAAACACCTATAGAACAGGCTAACCCATGCACCAGGGTTGATGACTTGCAGTCGCTTGGTTTGCACAACACACTCAGCCCAAGTTAGCGGAAAGCATAACAGAATGTTTGGACCTGGGCAGAGTTAGCTAAAGGAGGTTGATGAAAGCCCATTTCCAGGGGAAATCTAACGCATCTGCTGTTGGGCTGTGCTCGGTTATCATGCCAATTTTGGGCTCAATGTGTCATGTAACTCTAGTTTGTTCAGCAAACCATGGCTAAACAGACTAGGACTTTGCACGAATGCCAACCCAATCAGGGGGCAGGGGCAGGACTCCCTTCTGGCACGGGGGACTCACCTGCAACAGACGTCAAACGGGTCAACCCAGATGGTCATCTCCTTGGGCAAACCCAGGCTGGGAAAGTCCACGCCGCTCTCGATGCACGCCTGCTCCAGCAGAGGATCTTTCGCCTGGGACCCGTTTAGCCTGATGCACCTGGAAGAGCAGCCGAGGGGCTGGGCTGATGAAAACGCGCCCCCCCAGTGGGCCCAGGAAGGTCATCTAGATGGCATTCCTCTGGATTAACCCCAACGTGGGGGGGGGGGAGCCAGGCGAAGAAGCTGGAGCAAAAGCAGAACCCGCAGAACGGCACCTGGGACAATGGAGCCCCACGCCAAGATCAGGACTGACACCGTCTCCCGTCCACATTCAGACAGGTTGGCAGCAGAGCAAAACAGGCAGCTGCGTTCCCATCAACGGCTAAGCTTTGCTCATTTTCACCACCGTACATATTGTTCAGGGCTTATGAGTTAAGTGAATGCAACCTATTTTAGTTTATTTATTTATTGCATTTGCAGGCCACCCATCTCCTCCGGAGTGTATGATGCCACATACTGGCAAACCCAGAGAAAGGGTTAACCCAGGTAGTAAGTTACGCGTGTTGCGCAAGCCCAGCTGGGGCCCATCCTGAGGCGGCCAAGCAAGTTGCAGAAACTCAACTGCTAGGATTGCAAAATGCACTGAGTCAAAAACCCCACAGGTGCATATCACCTGAATTCCCACAGCCTCTGGCTTCTGTTGCAAAGCCCACTTCTCCTCCAGCCCAGAGAGTAGCTGCTCCAGGCTGGGAGGAGCCAAAAAACCTAAAATGTTGGTGAGGGGGTCCTGGATGTGGGACCTTTTGGTCTATGTCAGGGTTCCTCAACCTTGGCAACTTTAAGGCGGGTGGACTTCAACTCCCAGAATTCCCCAG